TTATCCATTTCACAGTTAAGATATATTTTCCAAAAGGGAGGTTCTGTCAAATAACACACACACACACACACACACACACACACACACACACACACACACACACACACACACACACACACACACACACACACACACACACACACACACACACACACACACACACCTTCATCAGGAAGTGTTTTTTCCTATGTAAATCCCTGTTGTATGATGACTGTTGTTTTCTACTCTCTCGTGTGTGTGTGTGTGTGTGTGTGTGTGTGTGTGTTCAGGAAGGTATCAATCACACACACACACTTAGTTTCATGAGGCTTCCCTGGAGTTCCTGTCGCTCTAAACGTCTCGAAGGGCAAATATTTACTCATGGTTTTGTTAACATCTGATCCCGTGTGGAGGAGAATCCCGGGATCTGTGAGGTGTGTGGGGGATGGGGCTCTGCGAGACCCCAGTGGAGAGAAGTATATACTTTATTGTATTTGAAATATATTCTCAATAGTACATAGCACAATGTTTTTGTTAGTATATTTGCAATCTTTAAATATAAAAAGTAGGCAATATTAGCTTAATGCTTTCACCTATTTTCACAATACAACTTTTAACACGCATTAAATTAATTGTACTTTAGTATATTTTCTAAAAATATTATAAAAATATACATTTATTTTTTAAAAGTGTATTTATTTGCACTTTAAATATATTTTAGGTATTTTTTTACCTGTGTGCTGAAAATGATCATTGTAACAATGCATTGAAAGTATAGTATACAATAGTATAGAGAGAGTGTGTTTGTCTACACCTAGTGTGTGTGTGTGTGTGTGTGTGTGTGTGTGTGTATATGTGTGTGTATGAGTGTGTGTATGAGTGAATATATGAGTGAGTGAGTGTATATGAGTGAATGTGTGTGCATATGAGTGAGAGAGTGAGTGTGTATATGTGTGTGAGTGTGTAGTGTGTGTATGAGTGTATGTGTGTGTATATGAGTGAATGTGTGTGTATATATGTGTGTGTGTGTGTATGAGTGTGTGAATGTGTGTATAAGTGAATATATGAGTGTGTGTGTGAATGAGTGTATATGAGTGAATGTGTGTGCAATGCATATGAGTGTGTGTGTGTGTGGGTGAGTGTGTGTGTGTGTATGTGGGTGAGTGTGTGTGTGTTGAACTTACAGACAGGAAGAGTACACACGGCTCTGAGAGCTCAGCTTTAGTGACACTGATAAGCAGGACTATTGCAGTCGGTCTGATTACTCAAGCTTTAGCAGAGCAGTCACACCTCTGAGATACTGAGTCTACCAATGAAATCAAAGGTTAAACGGCCAATCAAATTATGAAACTCAAGTTTTTCAGTGTAGACTGAAGGTGTGTGTGTCTAAAAAGCTTCCGTCTCTTCAACCAGAACATCATATAAACGTCTCATTCGAGCCTCAAACACACACAAACACACACACACAAACACACACACACACACACACACACACACACACACAGATCCTGAGCCACTGTGGCTGTAAACACACATCTAACACAAATCCTCAAACTGTGTTTAGGCAACAGCGATGATAAACTGAGTTTGATAGTAAAGAGCAGAGCAGACGACAGACTCAAATAATGAGAAATAATGAGATTTCCCTCGTGCCAGGAGTGTAAACACTACAGGCCAGACACTGAGGGACATATACAAACACTTTACAATCAGGTCACACTAGATAATGCATTTACCATGATAAACATCAACTAAATGTTCATGTTAGTTCAGAAGTTTTTGATCTTAAAAAATGTTGTAGTAAATGTTGAAATGAACATTAACTGAGACTAATAAATGCTGTAGAAGTTTAATGTATTGTTAGTTCATGTTAGGCACTGATGTTAGATGAACCCTCATGTAAAGGGTTGCTAAACTACACGTGTGTAATGAGTGTGTAACCAGCAGAAGATCGCTCCCAATCGTCGTTGTCTCTCTAAGTGAATTAATCGCATAAAATGTTTTGTCACAAACACCCTATTTTGGTTAAAGATTAAAAGCTCAGCTCATGCAACAATTAAAATACAGCGTTGTGAATCACGAGGCCAGAAACTGATCCAGGATCATCGGTTCTCGCACGTTTGAGCTTCCGCTTACGGTATTTGAGGAGGAGAAAATGGAAGAAAATAATCTGGAAAAATATAACGTGTAGTACTTTAAAGGTCCATATATAGACACCAAGGAGGATACATATAAAGATAACAATAACTATATTAGCGTCCACACTTATGTATATGCTGTAATATGATGAATATATCCTTCTGTTATTTAGAAGCGCTGCAGTTAGTCGTCGGTCACTTTAAATGCTCTTTTTACAGGGACAATTAAGAGTTATTGCACCAAACGCTCTTAAAGGGATAGTTCACTTTGAAATTAATTTTTGGTATGTTTTAGCTTACCTCAAGGGCATCCAAGTTTCAAGGGCATCCATCTTTGTTTCCGCAGTAGTTTCAATTGTGATATTTTTAGGTCAAACCGTTCTTGTCTGTCAGTCATATAATGCAGGTCTATGGTCACCACCTCAAAGAGCAGCACAGAGAAGTCCAAATTAAACATGATTTAATGACTCGTAAATGTAAGTACACATTGATGGGCTTAGACACGAAACGAGCGGTTTGTGTGAGAAAACGAACAGTATTTATATCGGTTTTACCTCTTGTAAACACAGCCACGTCCAAGTGATCTGAGGGCGCCGGCGCTTCGGTCTGTGCGTTACAAGAGGTAAAAACGATATAAATACTGTTCGTTTTCTCACACAAACCGCTCGTTTCGTGTCTTAGGCCATCAAAGTGTACTTACATTTACGAGTCATTAAATCATGTTTAATTTGGACTTCTCTGTGCTGCTCTTTGAGGTGGTGACCATAGACCTGCATTATATGACTGACAGACAAGAACGGTTTGACCTAAAAATATCAAAATTGAAACTACTGCGGAAACAAAGACACCGACATCTTGGATGCCCTTGAGGTAAGCTAAAACACACCAAAAATTAATTTCAAAGTGAACTATCCCTTTAAGAGCGTTTGGTGCAATAACTCTTAATTGTCCCTGTAAAAAGAGCATTTAAAGTGACCGACGACTAACTGCAGCGCTTCTAGGGTGGATTCTGATTGGCTGTCATTTTTAAAGTGATTCCAATGATGTAATTCCTCTGTGCCGTTATCGTTATAGTTCCTTTACTATTCTTTTACATTCAGAATTATTTTTCAAACTACAAACAACAACACATGCTGTGTTTTCCAGCACTAATATCTAAACATATTAAAATAAAGATACTTTTACTGGAGAAGCAAAAAGATATTCAGATAGTCTTGCTTTCTGAAAAATGTATCAAAATGAAGTCATGCATAAAACAAGAACACATATCTGCACTGGAGTCGGAGAAATAAACATAATTTACAGGGAAAACAGGATTATTTTTCTGACTCCATTGGCAGATGTTCTTGTTTCAAGACTAAACTCAATTAATTTTCATTAAAGCTCCAGTCCGTAACTTTTCCTCTTTGTCGCCATCTCTCTGTTCGAAATCTGTAACTGCAGTGATTCGCGGAATTATCATCTTTACGTGGGTTGTAAATCGTCATGAAACAGCGCGGATGAACACAGTGCTTTGAGGCGAGTGCTGCTGTCAGTCACCGCGCTGTGTGGATATACTGTCATACAGAATCACAGATTAACTTTTTGAAAGTTTGACCAACATAAGAAAATGTCTTCTGAACAAGTAAGTAACATCCATTTTTGTTCTGACCAACTAAGGGGGAGAAAGCATTCGACATGATAAGCTTCGTTAGATTTAATCAACGCGATTTACAGCAACCGTGCAAATTATAGCCTACTTTGTTCTCAAATTGTTCATGTTAACAACATCAGCATTGCGTGACTAATGTTAAATTTAATGTGTTTTATGGTTACCTGTGTAGTTCAGAATTCATATTCTCCATAATAGCAAAACGAGAAAGGCACAACAAAGGAAACTCCATAACTGTGTGAATTAAGAAAACGTACTGTTACACGATTGAACTATTGAAATGTCTTACTTGTTCAGCAGAAAAAAGCCGTCTCTTCTTCCGTTTCGAACCCCTTCAAAACACGGAGTTCACGCACTTTTCAAAAGCCCCGCCGATGTTTAAATCCTTGTGTTCGCATGAGACGGTTTCTTTCTCTTTCTCTAGCCACCTTAAATCCGAAGTACGAAGTCTTTTGGGTTTTATAACTGCTGAATCTCCAGTTGACACTGATGATTGTTGTTTGGATCTTTCTGGATGCCGTAAGTTTAATAATGTAAAGTGCTGCGAGAAAAGCCTATACATCTAAACATCTCGTCACGCGCAGTATAGCCGGCTAGCCGAAACTCCTTCTTTATGTGTACGGGTGTGACGTCATGACGCAAAGACATGCTCGAATCTCCCGCGGAAACCCACCAGTACCACTGGAATTAAAATCATTATTACAAGCTAACCGTTTTGAATCTAGCTATGGCAAGCAGATAGTTTTGACCACTGGCAGAATAAGTTTTTTTTAATATAATTATTTTGGATTATTTTTAACTTAAAGTTACGGACTGGAGCTTTAAACAAGACTTAATATCTTCAGTCATTGTTCTTCTCCAGTAAATGCATCTTGATTTAAGAATGTTTAGACGTTAGTGCTGGGAAACGGACAGAAACACTGAAGAAGAACATCATCTTTTGCGCCCGACTCATGCATACCCAATAGTGTTTTAAAACTAAACCATTTTTCCGTGTCCACGTGCAAAAGCGCATTGCAGAAAGGACATTGCTTTAATATTTTATTCTATTTACAGCACAATATAAACCTGGAGCGGATATAACACACTCGACGAGTCCAGAATCTGAGGAAACCTGCGAGATCCTGAGCGTGACCTTCAAACGCTCGAGTCCCAAAGGTCATCCGGACACATCTCCAGCGTCACCGCACACACACACAGATATCCAGCACACACACACACGAGTAAACACACTGCTTTTTATGCTTTAATGAAAGAGACGGTGCATAGGAGCGTACAGTTCTGTCCATATCTCCAGTGGAACAATTCATAAGGAGGAAAGCAACGGTGTCTAACGTAAACCAGGCTAAACGCGATAATACAGTGTACACAACTTCCTGAAAGCGTACTTTAATTCATGAAAATTAAAATCACTTCATAAGCGATGGGTTGGCTCCTCCGAGAGTCTGCGAACGGCGAGTTCACAGCAGGCCACCAAGGTATGGATAAAGTGCTTCTCTTAACGTGACATTAAATAATTAAAGCAAAAGAAAACATCACATAATCAGAGCGAAATAAGAAAATGGAGGACAGGAGATATATTCCTTCAAGGGGACAGAAAACTAGAGAGAGAAAGAGACTGTGAAGCGACGGACAATCTGACATACTGCATGTGTAAGACCTACATGATGCAAAAGGGAATTTCACATTTTCATAATCTGAAGAACAGACACAGTAAGACTTGTCGTTTAGTATCATAACACGGATATTTGACGGTCCGTGGCGTCCTATGAGGACAGTCAGTCATCAGAAACAGCAGCAGCGTGATCTTACAGGATTATTTCGAGGCCAGTCACCGGTCGAGTGTTTTTTTGTGTGAATAAATACATTCGGATTTAGTGTCAAGCTACTTGTTCTAATATAATGTCCTACAAAACAAACAAAGGAAAGATGGAGAGACAAACGAAGAGGAGATGGGGGAATTGTTCGCTCCGAGATGTTCCCAGGTTCTCCTCGTGGCCCCTCAAACTCAGCCCGCTCATCACAGGGCAGACCTCTTCTTCCAGCAGTCGCGTGTGTGAGGAGAAGCACCTTCCCTCGCGGTCTCCGTGGCTAATGAAGGCGCTCTCCGTGCCGGGAGGATCCCACATACTGAGCGCCTGCAGACCCCTGAATAACAGCCAGTCCTCTGCCGTCCACGCCCTCTACAGAGAGAACACACACAACTGAAACAAATATACCTGGAACTCATCCATTCGGTATTGACAAAAACATATGCAATAAATTAAAACAATATTAGTGTGCACGGTGTTTCTGAGTATCACGATAACAAGCTCACATCAAACCACTGAGAGGATGTTTTACGTAAAGAGCTTACAATGTATTTACTGTGAATGATGATGCATAAAAAACAAGCATAAAAATGCATGCATAAAGCATAGATGCATGCATAAAAACACATTAATAAAAATCCATAAATGATGCACAAAATGCATTAATAAAAATACATGCACTAAAATGCATGATGCATAAAATGCATGAATAAAATCCATAAATGATGCATAAAATTGCATAAATGTATACATAATGCATACATAAAAATACATATATGATGCGTAAAAATATATATATGATTAATAAAAATGCATAAAAATGTATAAATGCATAAACAATTCATAAATGATGCATAGAAATGCATACATGATGATGCATAAAAAATGCATGCAAAAAATGCCTAAATATGCACAAAAAAAAAAAAATAAAAAAAAATTTCTATAGCGTTTTATATAATACAGATTGTTTCAAAGCAGCTTCACAGTAATAAACAGGAAAAATAACGACACAATAATGCAAACTTCATCAAATATAAGACAAATTACAAATAAAAAGCTTGAGTGAGGTTTGGACCCACGGGCGTATAGTCATGCACAGCACAGTGTAGATGTGTCTAAATATGGCTGCAGGGAAACTCAGGATTCCAAACACTGGCAGTGGGAGCGGCTTGTGAACTTGAGCTAATATTGAACCAAGACAGCATCTGATCTCAATAAACATGAGGTGACCTAGCAATCTCCAGAGGAACTGAGGCCATGGGACCAAACCGGGAAGTTAAAGACGATTCTGAGATCAATAAATCACAAATTAAGCATGTTCAAGCCTCTTCAGGCTAATAGTGTTTTGAGACCATTGCTTCATGAAAAAAAAAGTCACGTACCCACCTTCATGTCATTTCAAACCGTATGACTGACTTTCTTCTGTGGAACACAAAAGGAGAAGTTTAGCCGTATGATCATGCTGCTCTTAATAACTAAAGCAGACTGGGAAAGGTTTACAGCGCCGATCAAAGTACAAAATCTCTCAAGACTCAAGTCAAACCATACGATAGTGCTTTCTGTCGGCTTATTGAAGTGCGCATGTGTGAAATGTGACAGGAACGCGTGTTCTTACTGTGGATTTAAGCGCATCCAGAGTCAAGACAGCGTTTTGCATATCGCAAACAGACTATTTTTGATCCAAAAAAGTATGAACATGCTCTTATAAGAAGTGGTACAGTAAATCCTGCATCTGTAACTGCATGAGAGGATAATATGAGCCGCTGACATGTTGCATTAATCTTCTTCGGTTTTTAATGCTTTATTTAACATCACAATCGATATAAATGAAATACTCTGAGTCAGATACGCAAATTATTACATTTTGACGCCAATACCGGCGGGAAATAACCTGATTCATTAATAAAGTCTTGTAAACGCGGTGTACTTGCGTTGTCGGTTCGCATGTAAGCCTGGATAACATGTTATTTCAATAAGCTGATATTTGTGAGTTACCAGCGCACTGGTGTGCATGTAAACATTTACCTTTGTGTTCCACAGAAAAAGAAGTCATCACTCAGACATAGAAAGACAAAAAATTGTGGGTTCATTTTCTTTTTTACACATACAAGGGTAACACTGCGTACCTGATGAGGCGAATACGTGGTAAACAAATGCAGACAGAAAAAATGAAATTAAGATATGCACAGTAAAAAAGCATCTCTAAAGAAACTAATATAAAGCCTCGGGGGAGATCTGATCCAGAGGTCGGACTGAGATTGGCACAAGTTTTTGAAACGGTTTGACTTACAGAGTCAAAGGTAGAAGTCTAAATTCATCAATCAGAAATTTTCTGTACTCATTATTCGGTCCACAAAGAGGCGGAACAGCCTGCTGTTTCACGGCTGAACAAGAAACGAGACAAGCAAAACACAAAACAGCAAACTACCGGAGAGGAGACGCAACAACGACAGACGCCCGAGTCGGTGAGCGCTGGTTCAGAGATCCATGCAACTCAGAGAAATACCGCAGACATTGGGCAAGGATGAAAAACTCACTATCACATGTGTCAAAACTGAAGTACCGGTATGCCCAGACAGCAACAGTGTCGGCCCAGATCCGGTACGCGTGGAATCCACATGATGTGGGCCGACACTATGTTGCTGTCTGGGTGCTTTGGGCTTAAAGGATTAGTCCACTTCAGAATTAAGATTTACTGATAATTTACTCTCCCCCACGTCACCCAAGATGTTCATGTCTTTCTTTCTTTCTCAGTGTGAAGGTCCAGATTTTTCATTTTTTGGGTGAACGATCCCTTTAAAGGATTAGTTCACTTCAGAATTAAAATTTCCTGATAATTTACTCTCCCTCACGTCATCCAAGATGTTCATGTCTTTCTTTCTTCAGTGGAAAAGAAATGAAGGTTTTTGAGGAACACACTCCAGGGTTTCTCCATATAGTGACTTCAATGGGGTCCAACGGGTCGAAGGTCCAGATGTGAGTTTCAGTGCAGCTTCAAAGTCTCGACACGATCCAGCCGAGGAATAAGAGTCTGATCTAGACAAACCAGCCGACATTTATAACAAAACTAAACATTTATATACTTTTAACCACTAATGCTGGTCTTGCTCTAGCTGTGATGCGACACACATTACGTAATCACGTTGAAAGGTGGGAAATGTAGGATAGTGTGGAAAAACGCCATCTCAATTTCTCCTCCAACTTCAAAATCGTCCGACATTGTTGTTTTACATTTTATTTTTTTGTAAATCCTGTTTGACTTAAGTCTCTGCACGTTTGCTTTGTAAACACTGGGTCTTTTCTTCCTCCTACGTCACGCTTGACCTTTCAACGTGATTACGTAATGTGTGTCGCATCACAGCTAGTGCAAGACCAGCATTAGTGGTTAAAAGTATACAAATGTGTATTTTGTTATAAATGTGGGCTGGTTTGTCTAGATCAGACTCTTATTCCTCGGCTGGATCGTGTCGAGACTCTGAAGCTGCACTGAAACTCACATCTGGACCTTCGACCCGTTGGACCCCATTGAAGTCACTATATGGAGAAACATCCTGGAATGTTTTCAACGGAAGAAAGAAAGACATGAACATCTTGGATGACGTGGGGGAGAATAAATTATCAGGAAATTTTAATTCTGAAGTGAACTACTCCTTTAGAGGGATCGTTCACCCAAAAATGAAAAATCTCTCATAAATTACTAACCCTCATGTCGTTCCAAACCCATAAGACTTTCGTTCATCAACACAATTGGATTTATCTAAGGATCTCTTTATGAATGTTTTGAAGTGTCAGAGTTTTGGGTGAATAGAGGGACAGAAATCTCTCAGATTTCATTAAAAATATCTTCATTTGTGTTCCGAAGATGAACGGGGTTGGAAAGACATGAGGGTGAGTCATTAATGCGTGAATTTTCTTTTTTGGGCGAACAATCCCTTTAAGAGTGCAATGAGGAGCACAGAAAGACTCACCTAAGTTTCGCAGTGAGACAGTAGAGATGTGATTTCGGCGCTCATGTGTCCCACCGCCTTGGCGGCCTCCATGATGGCGCGACGGTACATCCCTTTCTTTTTGCGGTTGAAGCGTAACCTGAAGAATTCGCGGAACGGCGACAGTTTGGCAAACGAGAGTTGGGAGGTGGTGGGAGAACCGAACCAGGACACTTTAGCTTCAGGCCAAGGAGCATCAACCTCTCCTTCTTCTCTACGAGAACCGCTAATACTGAGTATCCGAGCAGGCCACCACGGGAATCCGTGAATCTTTCCCCAAACAACATCACCTACTGTCACGGCGTGACCTTCTTCGGTCACGCACTTAGTCATGCTGCGAGTGTGCAGTCGCACGGTTAGAGGCGGAACAGTCTTGCTTTCCCCTTGAGAAGACGACGATACGGAGATGTCGTCGCCCGGAGCCAGATCGCAGAGTTCTGGCGACGTCCCATCCGAGCTAAACGACTTGGACTCGTCTAGACTGTCGCTACTGCACACGGAGAGGCTCGAAGAATCCGCTTTCCTCTTCCGGAAGTTAATGAGTAAAGTCAGGTCGCTGTGTCGATCGACCTCCTCGCCGGACCAAAGTTCAAGCGAGTTTTTCTCGGCACCATCCTCGGATTGAGAGTTGGGAACTCTTGGACTTCTTCTCCGGGAACCGCCGACAAGTTCTGCCTCGTACACGGACACTTGCTCTCCTCCGTCGGACCGGGATCTCAAGCGGATCTTGGGTGACGGGGACTCTGGACTTGCCAACTTTGGGAGCTTGAGTTTGGGAATGGAAATGGTAAGACCCGTTCGGATGGCGTCCATTTGCGGTTGCACAACTTTCTGGGATTCCTTGGAGGCGTCTCTTTGTCCATGCCCGTTCTGCAACAACTGTTTCGGACAGAAGGGTTTGACAGAGCCGTGAACTCTCGAGGGGATCTTTATTACTTCGCCTTTTCCTTGAGGAGTGCTATAGGAGATCTTAATTACAGGACTGTGGGGAATGATGTCCCCTACCGGAAACTTCTCGTCGTCTTTCTTGTCCTTTCGGAAGCGTTTGTTGTCAAAGACCATTGAGTCCTCTCTTCTCTTCGACTCTTTGTTGTTGTCCCCGTCGTCCTTTCTCTTGGCCGGAGTTGCTTTAGTGTCCTCGTCTTCTTGAGGCGCGTTTTCTTTTCTAGACGTCTTGGGCGCCGTTGGTCCATCTTTGCTGTCCTCGTCGCTGTTTAGTGTGTTTTTGCATTTCTCGCACAACACCTGCCGAGGTCTCAGTCGGATCGTGCTCATGGTCATCCTTCCAGGCTCTCGACTTCTTCTTTTCTTCCTCTTGATTGGACGAGGTGGTGGTTGAGGAACCCACTGGTTGTACGTGTGCCGGACCCAAACGGGTTGCGGGAAAGGAGCGCCCTCGAAGTACGGTGGGTACGTGGGCTGGCCCGGTTGTACCGGGACGGGTACGGGAGCAGGAGGAGCCATCGCTGGCTCCGTGTTCTCATCTTTTGGTCGCGGTGAAGGCGGACTAACGGGTTTGGAAGAAGCCTCTTCACTCGAGACTTCACAGTCCGGTCTCAGTAGGAGGCTCTCTTCTGATTTTCCAACAACGTCTGGAAGGCAAAACAGCCCAGTCCTACGGAAGAGAATCAAGAGGGAAACATAAGAGCCAAGCACTTTCACAGTAACAGAATCAGAGCAATGGAGGTTATTTATCCAGAAGGACTGCATTGTATTTGAGAATCACAATTTTTTTTTACATATTGTGGTGACATATTATGCCCCTTTTCACAAGATGTAATATAAATCTATAGTGTCCCCAGAATGTGTCGGCTCAAAATACCACCTAGATAATTTATTATAGCTTGTCAAATTTGCCCCTTTTTGGGTGTGAGCAAAGACTGGGCATTGTGTGTGTCCCTTTAAATTAGGGATGTCCCGATCCGATACTCAGGATCGGTATCGGCTCCGATACTGCCATTTTTGCGGGATCGGGTATCGATCAGACATCGATCAGACGAGGCCGATCCAAATCCGATATTGTGGGTATACTATTATGTGTTATTGTTAAGCCCCACAAAAGGCACAAAAACATTCTAAAGTACCATAACGTTTTCTTGCACTCTATTATAAGTGTTCTGAAGCCATTATGTGAGAGAGAAATTAATATTTAAGTCATTAAATTCAAGATCACGTAAACTTTTCCCTCTCGCGGCTGTCAGTCATTCTCCATTCAGCATTCAAACAGCGCGTCGCGTTCGGTTACAGTCAATGATGAAACTATCTTCAAGATGATTCAATGTTAATACTATTGTACTTGATCTGTAAGATAAAGGTCTATGTTTTCGCATATAACAACTTTATCTTGCTGGACTTTATTGCTGTAACTCAATCGGGTTACTCTCTACCGGGTGTCGGACGCTGTCGGTTTGATCCATAGGGTTTGATCACAACACTAGAGTCAGAGCACTATAATTGTTCTTCACACGCACAGTAACTAAAATTTAAAACTGTTAAAAGAAAAGGCTCAATAAACGATTGCATAGATAGATACTGTATAATACACTGTCCATCAATATGTATCTCCGTTGTGCTTTGAACTTTTCAAAGCGGACTCGACGCGCTGCGTGCTGTAACTCCACGTGGCTTCAAGCGCATCATTCTCCGCTCGGGATGCGCATACGCGCTTTGTGCCGCACTGTATTGAAGCCTTTCATATCATAATGCAGTGACGCAATTAAAGCTTATTAACATTAATAATTATTAATGTTGCTGCCTCATTAAATAGCTGTGCAATACACTTAAAACATGTCTCAATTTTATAGCAGATTTAGCTATATCTAAAATAATTATCTTTTTCATTTTTGTTACCCTTGTTTTTCATGAATGTATTTTACAACAATAAGAAGAGCAATGTGTATTATCCACTAATAGATTATGATCATATATTTTGGGGATTTGTTGTTTATCTTTATAATGAAGCTGTCTGTATTAAGTAGATTGTGTTTAACACACACAAGAGTGATAATCAGTTTAACACAGTTATAGAAATTCTACTTGATTTAAAAAACAAAAACTGTACTGGTATTTACAATGTAGAATGCTGCTGTTTAAATTGTTTTAACTTTAAACCTGTTGGTAGCTAGCTAGCTTTAAGTACTGAAGTATCTGTATTTTCTTTCATTTATATATTTCTTTATTTTTTTGTAGTGTTTGAATAAAGGGTGGCAATCTTTCATAATCAACTGTTGTTGTGGACTATATAGGAGGTATATTTTAGGTGGCTAATTGAGAAAATTGCTATATTTTTTATTAGTTTAAGAATAAAATAAAAATATCGGATTAATATCGGTATCGGCAAAAGCCAAAGCTGCGGCATCGGTATCGGAAGTGAAAAAGTGGTATCGGGACATCCCTACTTTAAATGCAAATGACCTTCTGCTCCGCCTCCGTTCAGAAGAGGGCGGAGCCTTTACACGAGCTTCAGAGACTCCGGCAGTAACAACACAGGCCAATCTCACTCATCCAGAATGATATGTCCCCTTTAAAATAGAGATCACGAATCCCCCACGATTGTGAATAGACAACTAAACAAAATAACATGTAATTTACTAGAGATTCTGATAAAATGTTAATTGCTGCAGTCTATTTAAAAAACATTGTATTCATTTGCATTAATTTAAAAAAAAAAAATCAGGTGGAGTGAATGATTTAATGACTCATAAAGACTTCACTTGTTTCGTTACTGGTGAATCAGTAACAATTCAACGACAATTACTTTTTTAACATGTCGCCACCTACTGGTGTAACAATGTAACTGATCATCTTCATTTGAAGTGCCAAGTTACTTATAAAAGGTGATTTTCTCTATTTTGATCGCTACCGTAGACATCAGTGTTTGTATCCAAAACTATAAACTTTTATCCAGTATTTCTGTGACGATTTGAATTGGATGAGCACTAAAATACTACGCAAACTAAACGAAACTTATAAAATGAGCTGAAAAAAAATACATTTTATTTCAGATAATGTTTATTTTATTTCAAGTAAGGAAATGTGGGTTTTGGTTTTAGTTTTTACAATAATAATCCTGCTACGATGGTGCAGAAAACCCCACTTACATCACCATTAAATGTCCTTATATTTAACACTCTCTTATCACAACGCTGCAAAACATTTAAACGCTCATGAACTGAAATGCACGATTAAGCATTTCTAATGGCAAGCTGACTCTTGACTGGAAAAACTAGTTGCAGTTCGTGCAACGAAACCACACCTATGTTTTCATAATCTTTTAAACACCACAGATATAATCTGATATGTCAAAACTCTTAATAATGCTGCATTATTCTTAGAAACTGCAATGCTTGGAATTTAAAAGTAGTAGCAAATACATTTCAATAACACAAAATAGTACAAGTTTAGGACAACCATTATTATTCGTATTGTGATAGCACGGCAAGACATGGAGATTTGCTTTACGTTGCAAACGAAAATGATAAAATGACCTGAAATAAAATAATTTTATTTCAGATAATGTTTAGTTTTCTGGTTTTAGTTTACAATAATAATCCTGCAACGATGGCGCAGAAAAAACACTTATATCACCTTTAAATGTCCTTATTTTTAACACTCTTATCACAATTTTGACATGATTAAGCATTTCTAATGGAAAGCTGACTCTTGACTGGAAAAACTAGATAGTGAAGCAGACATATCGTGCAAAAACACAAAACAGTCACATTTCAATAACACAAAATACAATTTTAGGACAACCATTGTGATAATAATTAAGCAAGACACGGAGATTTGGTTTACGTTGCATATTTGCATGTAGCAAAACAACTACTACGTATAAATGCATGAGCAGTTGTGTGAGATTGAGCCAGTGGTTTCAGTGATCACACTGGAGTCTTGAGTCTGTGAAAGATGCAGCCAAAGCAAAAGCGCTGTCAGAAACCACAGACAAAGAGACCAACGGGTCGGGCCGGATCCCCCTCCACCTCGCTGCACAAAAACAATCCCATAAACCACCGGGGACGCAGGGAGAGGGCCAAGAGAGTCGGCTGTTTTCACACGCAGCCCTGAAATCTGATTGTCCCGGGATTATTAATTAAATCGTAGAAGGAAATCCTGTGGGTGACAGAGGCAGAAGCCCTCGGGCAATAAACACCGATCATTTGAGATGTTTGAGGAAAAATAAAACGCCCACGCCTAAAGCAACAATAACTACAGCGTCTAGTGTCAGGGTCCGGAGTAAGACTGAATAATACTTATACACACACATATATATATATATATATTATATATATAGCAGGGATGATGAACGACCAGATGCTATTTAAACACAGTTCAGGATGTAATACTAGCTGACTGCATACTGTACACTGCTTACTATTTACTGACATAGGCGAATGATTCTACGATAAACGCTTCAAACTGTAGTATACTAAAGAAAATAGTGTAGAAACTAGTGCTGGGCAACAATTAATCACATCCAAAATAAAAGTTTGTGTTTACATAATATGTGTGTGTACTGTGTATAATTTTGTATACACACATGCATGTATAAGAAATATTTGCATGTATATATAATTTATATTATATAGAAATATAAATATTTAATATAAATCACACATTTTTCTTAAATATATACATGAATGTGTGTGTATTTATATATACACAATTATACACAGTACACACACACATATATTATGCAAACAAAAACTTTTATTGATCACGATTAATCGTTGCACAGCACTAGTAGAAACTATTTCACACATAAATACATAAAAACCGGCAAGTAACACATTGAATTAAACATGAAAGTTTGAAATTGTGTTTTCTTCTAAAATGCACTCCAATCGTCTTTGTTTTATTTGCAACTTCCAAAACTCATTTTGTACGTTGTATTATTATTTTCAGCTTATTTGGTAACACGTTACAATGAGGTCCTACTGATTAACATTAGTTAATGCATTAACTAAACAATGAGAAAAGTATTTTTACAGCATTAAATAGCCTTTGTTAATGTCATACTGTTCATGTTCATTAACTAACTTTAGATCTTTAAAATGCATTAGTAAATGTTGAAAATAACATTAACTAATATTAATAAATGCTGGTCATTGTTGGTTCATGTTACCTATTCTGCAAAAATGTGTAGTTTAATTAAAAACTACATAGAAAATAAAGGCAGTTGCAATTACTTTCAGTTCATTCGTCACACTGGAAAGCAAAGGTTGAGCGCAGTGCATTGTGGGACACGGTGTGCTCTGTAGTGTGCTCAGCAAGTGCACTAGATCATCTGAGTGTGAGTATGTATGAGTATATGATATTCTGAGAATATTGCCAAACGTCCGAGGACGGAGTGAATGAGTGATGATGATTCACTGAAAGCTTCCCAGCAGGACGTGATTCACGGTGACACAACGGGAACAAAGCAGTGACGCCGCATCTGAACATCCACTGAAACACAGGCTTTTATTCACAGCGATGCCATAGAAGAACCATTTCTGTTCCCCAAACCACCTTTCAGTGGTCAGTTCTTAAAATAAACATGTTTTTCTAAAGTGTGTCGAACATTTTAATAATCTAAAGAACATTTAGTGCAAGGGAACCATCAGTGCTAATAAAGAACCTTTATTTTTAAGAGTTTACAGGGGAGGAAAAGCACACATAGTACATAAAAAAGTATTAAAATGTACAGTTTTTAGATTAGAACTTGTAAAAAATAACAGGCCTACATAGGCGGAGCACATTTTATATCATACGCTGTCTAGTAAGTGTTTTGGAATAACCTGACAATTATAAACATTATTTTTCTGATGGGCTGCAGTTCTATAAAGGAAAAGCAATGTAAGATTCTCATGCAATGTGTCTATTAATACCTCACAGTATCTGTGTGACAGACGCACAATATCCACAATCACACACACAATAACCATCCACACAGGAATATAATGTGGAGAAGGTTCAATGACATCAATGTCAGATTATTCCACATCAAACCCATAGAATCTGAAACCAACACTGATGAAACATGGAATAAACCAATGCAGATTCAAAATCAAAGGCCTCATGATGAAAACCACATGCAAGTGTTACTTTAATCAAATTCCCCCAGTATCAAATGAATAAACACAATAGTTGACCTTTACACTGACTGTATATAACAATGCCATCTGACCCTCCATGGACAATAATGATTATTCGGACTCAATTAAACTGATCCTGAGTCATTATTCCCGATGACAGCGATGAATGTGCATGAAAACATAAATCAATGTTTCATGTGATGAAATGATACAAAGAAACAGCTTCAGCTACATGGCTAAAGCAGAGAGCAACCATCACACCATCACCATCTGAGACACTAAAAACACACAATCCGACACAAAACAGCGCTTTATCCACATCTAGTGTGTCTCATGATGAAGATGATGATGATGAAGATGGCTGCTGTTCTTCATTGTCTCTGCTCAAGGCCTGCCTGTGTTCTCCTGGCCTGCTCTTTAGGCCCGACATTATAAAGTGTGTGTTTTTCGCATGAAAACACAAAGAAAGGAGACTCACTTTCTGCTGCAGTCCAGTAAGATCCCGGTGTAGCTCTTCTCCCGGTAGACCAGCGTCACCACGAGCGTGTCGTTCACGATCTGTTCGACGGTCACCGGGATCCGGGAGCCGGCCCGCAGCTCCTCCGGCACGGCCTGCATGTTTCCTCGCTCGGGGTCCGGGTTTGGGTCGCTCGATCGCGGCCACCGGAGCCTCGGTCGCGTCGCGTCGCGTCGGCCTTCACTGCGATCCGTGCGCGCGCTCGGGAGGCTCCGTCAGGACGCGCAATGACGCCATCAACTCCACCGACGCGTTACAACGGGCCCGTTCGCGGTGACATCACCAGAGAAAGACGAGAACCACCGTCTGATCTGAGCGAACTACAGCCACACACACACACACACACACACACACACTGCACATAAGCCTACAATGTTCTGGACATACAGGTAAACTCACCTAGTAGATCACATGGCACATACAACACAATATATAAACACACACACACACACACACATATAGCTACACTTTTGTTTGGTGCGATTAATTTATTTGACAGCCCTATATATATCAAAATATAGCCTATATTAATTTCCTGTTTACGTAAGAGTTTTTTGCAAGTCTCTTGTTTAATACTTCCCCTGTAGTCAATCATTGTATCCCTTAAAACTCATCTTTGATCACCAAAATTACATATTTAAAAAAAATCTTCATGTCTTAAAATATCTTGAATGTAACTCGACACCCTTGCCTCATTTAGTATGCGCGGTTCTATGAATATGCAAATGAGCCCCGCCTCCACTCACTCCCTCAGCTCAGAGATCCACTGGTTGACGATCACACGTTGATCTGATTGGTTACAAGCTCGTTTGTGACGTCAGAAACACCAGCGATTTCAAACCGTGTTTTTGAGACTGTCTTTGGTTCACTGCAGTTTTAAGGAGGAAATACTCAGCAATGCTGTCGACTTATGAACTTACACATGGTGTGTCTTAAAGCAGATTAAAAACACCACATAGACACATAAACAACATTAAACGCTGGAGTTTCACCACAGGGGGACTTTAAACATACAATCTATATTCATATTAACAGCGAATATAAATGCCCAAACTCATCCTATATGTTTGTTTATTACATAATAAAACTCTGTTATGATGTATTTTCATATGCATTTTCATTTCCACGTACAGTAAAGTGCTTGTCAGCCAGAAAACTTCCGAGATGAGTTTAAATTATGTGTTTTATTAAAATGATCAAGCTTAGTTGCTGATTTTACTGCATTTTATTTCTTCTTCCCATTGACCATAAACCACATGAATTATGAGCATGCAAAACGGTTTATTCTTTTCAATACGATATTTAGATATTAGATATTTAGATATATCTGATTTGAAGATGTTTATGCAAATCAGTTCTTACCAGTTTCATAGATATTCATAAGACTGGTGTTGTTTATTATTTATTCACATACTTGTTAAACAACAATAGAAAGTCAGTCATAACTAACAGTTTTACAGACACAGAGTGAGATTACACATCACAGTCTACACACATTACCTAACAATACATGAAACACGACAGAGATATGGCGAGTGGAGGTTTTTATGTATTGTTTTTATATTATAAAACCCTCTAATAAAGAAAACAAATACTTTGCTTTGGGACGTTTCATTCATCCCTCTCAAAGTCTCCAAATATATTACAAGTTCCTCTTTAAAAAACATTCATCTGGAAAAATGTGCAGTTGTGTATGTACTAGAACTGGCGCTGAAGCCTTCGTGATGCAGTTCTGTGATTATAAAGCGTATAAAAACAATCCAGTGATGAAACGAACGCCTGAAACTCTCTCAGCTTTACTGAACACACTGAGTTTAGTGACTCTCAGGGAAGGGACATATTTCCTCGGTTTCCCACAACACTGATCCGTCAGGCCTGTAACACGTGCTGTGGAGATGAAGATGAGGATGATGAGGATGGCGATGAAGATGAACAGTGAGGATGATGATGAGGATGATGATTAAGATTGTGATGAAGATGGTGATGATTATGATGATGATGAAGATGAGGATGAAGATGGTGATAATGATGAAGATGATGAAGATGAGGATGGTGATGATGAAATAAATACAGGAACATATACATAAATAAAACAGTAATACAGTCATCACGAGAGTGATGAAGATGAGGATGATGAACAGTGATGAAGATGAAGATGATCAACAATGAGGATGATGAAGATGAGGATGATGAACAGTGAGGATGATGATGGTGATGATGAAGATGAGGATGATGATGGTGATAATGATGAAGATGATGATGGTGATAATGATGAAGATGAGGATGGTGATGATGAAGATGATGAAGATGAGGATGGTGATGATGATTAAATAAATACAGGAATGTATACATAACAGTCATCATGAGAGTGACACTTGATCGGGTGCTTAACTGTCATAAAATAATAAGATGAAAAAATACTTTTTTACTTGACTTTAGAATGTGATTACATTAGGTTTATGGAAGCCTAAACCTCACTTTGTATGTGATGTTGTTCTAGAACTCACGGAAGAATAATGGAATAAAAAATTGCATCTATCTCACAATTTGACTTTTTCTCTCACAATTGCAAAGTTTATATCTCACATTTCTGAATGATTGAAGAATAAGGGTTAGAATTGTGAGATAAAAGGTTGTATTAATATGATGGGAAAGTAAAGCTGAAGGCTGTGAGTTACTCCACTAACCACACGATGTCAGTACACACACACACACACACACACTTGCTCCTGAACTCCATCGATCACGTGACTCTGCATTAGTGGACCCAGAGCATGAGAACAGCCTCACACACATCTGCAAACACTGGGTCACGTGTTCCTCTCACACACACTGCATGAAGCCTGTTGCTCTTAGTGTTGTGAGTTGTTGTATGCAATGCTGTGATGTTAAACTGCGTTCTGGTAATGTGCACTGATAGTTTGACAGAACACAACAATAAGAGCCATTTATACATAATAAATACATTTATATGATATTTAAAGGGTTCATTTCATGCAACATTTTATTATAATTAATTTTCCCCTGAAGGAATTTATTTTTATTTTTCATGAGCGTTTTGGATAAATGCGTAGAGTCTGTGTTCACATCACATGTGTTTCTCTGACAGACGAAGGGAAAGATGTGAACCTGGTCTCTTCTTCTTCCAGATCTGTCCTGTGTTCTCTGATCGCTTAGCAGACGCTGGACTCTAACACACACACACACACACACACACACACATGAAGAACACCAGTACATCATCTCCTTCCTCTTGTTTTACAGCACAAATATATGAACATTCTCACATCAAGACACATTTACTAAAATGTACATTCAAATGCATCAAAAATGCAGAGACTTCTTTGTGTGATCGTGATTATTGAGCAGAAAAGCTCTGACAGCTAAGAGAAGTCATTTAGCTCGGTTTGCATGTGAAATAGATAAAGAGGAAAAGACTAATAATCTAAATAATAAACACAATCTGCTCTGCATAGTGAGTTCTTCTCAGAACACGATCAATAACTCTCTCTGGATATGAGGAGTCTTCTTCACTAGATCAGGAACATCTTTTTTTTGTCTTGTTTTGCAACAATAATCTAAACATCCATAAATCCAGATGCATTCGCTCGACAAGAAAAACCACACGTCAAGATTAGTGTGTTTTAGACCAAATACTTTCAGTTTTTCTACTTTAAAATGTCATGTTTAATTCAAAGTGTTGTAACTTGCAGTTTCTTTGTAATTATACGTGAAATGTGGCGATTTCGAACAATGTAAGGTCTAAAAATATCTGATCTGGGATATTGTTTACATTTAATTATGGTCATAAGGTTCAGATGTTTGGAATAAAATTAAATGACTAAATTATTAAAAATAAATCAAATTAAACCTAAATGAAAATATTTACAGAACAACTAATAAAAATGACAAAAGTGCATAAAATTACTCAAATTTAAAATTAAATTTATTGTTTAAAATTAATTATGGACATAAGGTTCAGATGTTTTGAACAAAATTAAATTTCTAAATAAATAAAATTAAACCTAAAATATTTTACAGAAAAACTAATAAAAATGACATAATAATGACAAGTGCATAACAAAATTACTCAAATTTAAAATGATTTATTTATATAATTATGATGATGGAAATAAGGTACAGACATTTGGAACAAAATTAAAACTAAAAATAAATAAATTAAAGCTAAATTGAAATATTCAAAAGTACAAAAAACTAATAAAAGAACTGACAAAAAAACACAAAATTACTCAAATTTAAAACAAAAACTGATAATGTAAGTATATAAAAATAAAAGTGATTTATAAATGCTATAATAGTATATAAATAACAGTAATTAGTTCATTAAATTGAATCCTTATACCAAATTAAAACAGGGAACAATTCTGATGTAAAATAAAAGAAGGATCTTATTTCTCAGATGTGTAATAATCCTGGCGTTGTTCTCTACAGATATTGACGGACTGCTTCTGTTAAAAGCATCTGTAAACGAGTGTGTTTATTATGTCTTGTTTTCTGGGGAAATAAATAAAAATGAAGTGAGTTTTTGCTCAAAAAAAAACAAAAAGATCTGCCAATGGAGTGAGAAAAATAATCCTGTTTCTGTTTGGATTAAGATTATTTTTCTTACGCCATAGCCAGACAAGAGAGGATTAAAGGAGAAGGAAGATTATGATTATTTACTGTAGAGTTATAGGCCGCGTCGCACAGTTCGGAAGCGGTTGACATGACACTAAACCAGTGATCTGGCAGAGGCAGCCATGATGAACAGCTGAGGTACGGTGGCTCCTGAGGACCAAACTACAGCAGGACTCACGGAAGAACAAATCAAGCAAGAAGAAGAGTTTCTGCAGTGTAACACGGATGAGTGACTCACAACACTCCTGCAGATCTCAGGTGTGTGTGTGTGTGTGTGTGTGTGTGTGTGTCAGTACCTGCTTCTGGAGTGTGTGTGTGTGATTCATTCCTCTCCATCAGGATGATCCTGTGCCGAAGCTCCTGGAAGATCTGGATATCGGGATCATCTTCCTCACACACATCCAGACTGGAGAAACACAGCTTCTCCACCTCTGATTCTGCACACACACACACACACACACACACACACACACACACACACGAGACGAGATTATAATCAAACATGAGCATCGAGGTCACGCTCAGTTTACTGTTAACATGAAAACTTCATTTATCAGTGGTGTTTGTTACGTCACTCATCAGTATCACACTCTTCTTCTTCCTCAGTGTTTCTGTTTTGTTTTCCAGCACAAATATATATACATTCTTTAATCAGATGCAAATATATATTTACTAGTGCTTTGATCACTAAATGCCTTCTCACACTTAAAACTCTTAATATTTTTCAACATTTCAAATGGTTTCAATCCAGTGTTGTTAATGTTAACTAAAACTGACACTAATACAGTGATGGCCAACATTTTAGAATAATTAAGATGTTTTAAAATTAGTCTCTTAATTATGAGATGAAAAGTCAAAATGATGACATACTAAATGAACATTATGAGATTAAAGTCAATTATGAGATAAATTGAAATTGAGATACAAATTTTAAATTATGCCATACTAAATTGAAATAATGACACAATCAAAATTATAACAAAATGTAAAAATTATGACAGAATTATGAGATTAAAGTCAAAATTATGACATACTGAATCAAAGTTATGACTGAAATGTTTTTAATTGATATACTAAATTAAAGGTATGAGATTAAAACAGTAAAGTAAATAGTTTTAGTTAGTAGAAATGAAGTTCGAGAGAGGAGAATCCTGTAATAAGCTTCAGTTTTCAGGCCAGTGTTCCTGCTGATCATTTGATTTTCATCTTCAGCCTCATTAAGATCTCAGCATCGTTCCCGATAATAGAGCAGAGTTGAACACTCGTTAGTGTAATGACAGTCAGATTATATCTGGAGTCTGCACTGCAAAACATGCTTTTCTTACTATTCTTAGTATTTTTGTCTTGTTTCCAGTCCAAATATCAAAAAATTATTCAATCAAGATGCATTTACTAGATGAGTAAAATACCATAAGATATTATTGTTTTGTTTTCTGGGGAGATAAATAAAAATGAAGCGAGTTTTGGCTTAAAACAAGCAAAATGATCTGCCAATGGGGTTAGAAAAATAATATTGTTTCTGTTTGAATTAAGATTATTTTTCTCACCCCATTGGCAGATAATTTTGCTTTTTTAAGCAACAACTCACTTAATTTGCATTTATTTCCCCAGAAAACAAGACATAATATCTTATGTCATTTCACTCATCTAGTAAATGCTTCTTAATTTAAGAATCTTTAGATATTTGGACTGGAAACAGGACAGAAACACTTATAAGAGAAGCATTAGTGCGGTGTATATCTGGGTTTGTGGTTTTCGCTGGACTGGAAGCGCCAGAATCTCAGCGTCTCCAAGGGAACAGAAACTCACACCCATCAGGCAGAACCAGGGCATGGAGCTATTTTTGAGGCAGGCCATCCTTTTTATGCAAAGCCACAGATGGCAAGCACACACACACACACACTCACAGGTTGTTCTCACCTTCACCTAGTTGAGCACATCGCAGGTGATGTAGGATCTTCGGCAGGCCGAGGTCCAGAACGTCCCGAGGAGGGAAAGTGAGCGGGCAGTTCCTCAGACTCAAAGCCTTCAGTGACATCAGATTCCCTGAAGAAGAGAAGAGTCACATCACACACACATCTTCATCTTCATCACACACACATCTTCATCTTCATCATGCACTGCAAAAAAATGCTTTTTTTACTTAGTATTTTTGTCTTGTTTCCAGTTCAAATATCAAAAAATGATTTAATCAAGAAGCATTTACTAGATGAGTAAAATGCCATATTATGTCCTGTTTTCTGGTAGCCTGGTTAAAACCAGAGCATTCTCAGGTGTAAGTGAGTTATGGTCTGGCAAAGCATCATAGACAAATCATTTCCAGAGGGGCGTCACCAACGGACGTCGCGGATAGACCTAAACCCAATCAGAGCGATGAAGGAGATGACGTATGCAGAGCGGCGGAGACACATCTCCGAGTGTTGTTCTTTGCTCGGTTTTTAACAAAAAGGAAACGTTCAAATGGCTTAAAACAGACGCGATAGCTGATTGGAACGAGTGATGTTCGATGGCGGCATCCATCTTTGTAATGTAGGCTACAAAATCTGCTTCAAAATCCCAGCGCTGTCGTCATCGTGTAAAGCCCGCCCCAACGCTTCTGATTGGTGCAGCGATTTCGACGGATTGAAAATGGGCTTGAATGAGCTCTTTGCCAGACTAACTTTCAGAGCAAATCTAAATTTGCCGGAAGTTGTCTGGGTTTATCCAGGCTAGTTTTCTGGGGGAATTAATAAAAATTAAGTGAGTTTTTGCTTTAAAAAAAAGCTAAATTATCTGCCAATGGGGTCAGAAAAATAATCTTAATCCAAACAGAAACAGGATTATTTTTCTCACTCCATTGACAGATAATTTTGCTTTTTTTTAAAGCAAAAACTCACTTAATTTTTATTAATTCCCCCAGAAAACAAGACATAATATCTTATGGCATTTTACTACTTTAGTAAATGCATCTTGATTTAAAAAAACACTGAGTAAGAACAGCATGTTTTGCAGTGTGTGTTCTGAGTGATATTAGACGCAGATTCTCGTTTTTGAAGCTTACACAGAGATGATAACATTTTCATTTGGATTGTTTCAACCCAACTTTGGGTCAAATACAAACCCAGCGGTTGGGTTCAATTTTTTAATTACATTTTTAACCCAATGTTTGGGTTTGTCCACATTTGACCCAAAATTGGGTTAAAACAACCCAGCATTTTTTAGAGTGCGCCTTGGATCCTGTTTCAGAGTGTGTGTTCTGGAGCTCAAACACTGCTGTGTGCGGATGAACGGCCAGAACACATTAAAGTTTCTGTCTTCAGTAGAGCGGTGTCGTGTTAGCGGCCCCTAAGTTAATCACTAATGATCTTTACAACGGAAGTGAATCAATCAAAACTAACTTTATCCGGACAATAACTTTATTCTAGAGCTGCTGTAAAGCCTAAACACTCTCTGTTACTGTAATCTCCTGTTATCACTGTAAAGCTGCTGTGAAACTCTCTGTGCTGTTACAGCGCTGTATAGATGAAGGAGACTGACTAGACTTGACTAGACTAGACTTGACTAGACTAGACTTGACTTGACTTGACTTGACTTGACTAGACTTGACTTGACTTGACTAGACTTGACTTGACTAGACTAGACTAGACTTGACTAGACTTGACTTGACTAGACTTGACTTGACTTGACTTGACTAGACTTGACTTGACTAGACTTGACTTGACTAGACTTGACTTGACTAGACTTGACTTGACTTGACTTGACTAGACTTGACTTGACTTGACTTGACTTGACTAGACTTGACTTGACTTGACTTGACTAGACTTGACTTGACTTGACTAGACTTGACTTGACTTGACTAGACTTGACTTGACTAGACTTGACTTGACTTGACTTGACTTGACTAGACTTGACTAGACTTGACTTGACTTGACTTGACTAGACTTGACTTGACTTGACTTGACTTGACTAGACTTGACTTGACTTGACTAGACTTGACTTGACTTGACTAGACTTGACTAGACTTGACTAGACTTGACTAGACTTGACTTGACTTGACTTGACTAGACTTGACTTGACTTGACTTGACTTGACTAGACTTGACTTGACTAGACTTGACTTGACTTGACTTGACTAGACTTGACTAGACTTGACTTGACTTGACTTGACTAGACTTGACTTGACTAGACTTGACTTGACTTGACTTGACTTGACTTGACTTGACTTGACTTGACTAGACTTGACTTGACTTGACTTGACTAGACTTGACTTGACTTGACTTGACCAGACCAGACCAGACCTGACCTGACCTGACCTGACCAGACCTGACCTGACCTGACCAGACCTGACTAGACTTGACTAGACTAGACTTGACTTGACTTGACTTGACTAGACTTGACTTGACTTGACTAGACTTGACTAGACTTGACTTGACTAGACTTGACTAGACTTGACTTGACTTGACTTGACTAGACTTGACTTGACTTGACTAGACTTGACTTGACTTGACTAGACTTGACTAGACTAGACTAGACTTGACTTGACTTGACTAGACTTGACTAGACTTGACTTGACTTGACTTGACTAGACTTGACTAGACTTGACTTGACTTGACTTGACTAGACTAGACTTGACTTGACTTGACTAGACTTGACTTGACTAGACTTGACTTGACTTGACTTGACTTGACTAGACTTGACTTGACTTGACTTGACTTGACTTGACTTGACTTGACTAGACTTGACTTGACTTGACTTGACCTGACCTGACCTGACCAGACCAGACCAGACCTGACTTGACTTGACTAGAATTGACTTGACTTTACTTGACTTGACTTGACTTGACTAGACTTGACTTGACTAGACTAGACTAGACTAGACTAGACTTGACTTGACTAGACTTGACTTGACTAGACTAGACTAGACTAGACTAGACTAGACTAGACTTTACTTGACTTGACTTGACTTGACTTGACTTGACTTGACTAGACTTGACTTGACTAGACTTGACTAGACTAGACTAGACTAGACTTGACTTGACTTGACTTGACTTGACTAGACTAGACTAGACTTGACTTGACTTGACTTGACTAGACTTGACTTGACTAGACTAGACTAGACTAGACTAGAATTGACTTGACTTTACTTGACTTGACTTGACTAGACTTGACTTGACTAGACTTGACTAGACTAGACTAGACTTGACTTGACTTGACTAGACTTGACTTGACTTGACTTGACTAGACTAGACTAGACTAGACTAGACTTGACTTGACGTACCCAGCTCCGGGGGAAGCGCTGTGATCGGGTTTCCCTCCAAGAGTAACGTCTTCAAGCACCTTAAACACAAGAGTTGATCAAACATGCACAAATATCTAATATCTTAAGAATAAACACCCTAATCTTGATTTAGGAATGTTTAGATATTTGTGCTGGAAAACAAGAAAGAAACACTGAAGAGGAAGAGCATTTCTAAACTGCAAATGCAATGATTCTGTGATCTAATATTTGTGTCTAAAGCTGTAAAATTGATCACACTGGAAATAAAATTATGTTTCTGTCTGTTTTCCAGCACAAATATCTAAACATTCTTAAATCAAGACACATTTACTGGAGAAGCAGCAAAATTACTGAAGAGATTAAGTCTTGCTTTCTGAAAAATGTTTTAAAATGAAGCGAGTTTCTGCTTAAATAAGAACAAATATCTGCCAATGGAGTCAGAAAAATAAACTTAAAAACAAGATCATATGGAAACACTTTATATAAAGGCTTTATGTTTAAAGCAGTATACAGGTATTCATAATGTACGTTATAAATGCGGTATATCTTTTAATAAATAATTGTAACCAAAGTTAAAATATATTATTATATTAGCAGATTCCTTGTTACATCTGAAATTGCTTGTTTGTTGTGTTTTAATGCTTTCTAAAGACATGACATAAGGTATTATAACTGTGGTTATAATTATTGATGAGATCATAATGCATTATAAGAAGACATAATTAATGCATTAAAAAACTTTTATAATGCATTATATAAAAGGCTTTAAGTGAAGTGTTACCGATTCTAGTCTGACCTCATTGGAAGATCTCTTTCACAAAACGAGTAGTAAGTCATTTTCCTTCTAAAATAAATGTATCTTGAAATAAGACTAACTTTATACTGGAAAATGAGCAAAACTACAGAGGAAGATTATGATTTCCTTCATATCTGTGCTCATTTCTTTCATATCACTCTCTCTTGTTGCATGATAAAATCATTCACACTCAAATCATTATTTTTTGTCTTTATTTAACCGTTGCGTCTCATGACACGCCGCTCTAAAAATGCAGTGCTCAAGTTAAAAGAAGTTCAACTTTTAAAAACACATCTCTAGACTTTGCGCTTTTTCTCGTTCTGCTGACCTGAAGTAGATCTGACCTGAGAACAGTGGGATGGGTGAAAATGCAAGTTCTCGAGGTGCGTTTGAAAAAGGTGAACTTGTTTTAAAGGTGCACTGTGTAACTCTTTCAAAGTTAAAGTCCCCCTGTGGTGAAACTCCAGCGTTTAATGTTGTTTATGTGTCTGTGTGGTGTTTTTAATATGCTTTAACACAAACCATGTGTACAACCTACAACTTCCTTGTCTTATGTGACATTTATTCGAACATCTTCTGGTCAGGTATGACAAATATTTAACTTTATGCCAAAAGTATGAAGCCAAAATGACTTTAAATGATGAGTAATTGATTTCAGCACTCCTTGACTTAAGCGCTACACTGTTAAAAATTGCTGTAAAAATACAGCCAATTTCCAACAGTAAAATACTGTTATTTCAATAAACAGTTTTATCCTGTAAATTTACAGTCTATGCTCCATAAATTAATTTCTTGCTGTAAATTTACAGCATTTATGTGTTAACCAATTTGTTCCTGGAAAAAACAGTCTTGGACTGTAAAAAATAGCACGTGTGGGCGGGGCATCTTCAACGCGGTCTCTTTTCGAACAAAAAGCAGTTAAAGAACAAAATGGTTTCGCAACACTCCTGCTGTCTTAAAGAAGGCCACTGTTCAAGGTAAGTTTATTTCTTTGCTGTTATTCTATTATGTTGCACCAGAGTACCTGTAAAATCGCCTTTTTCATGAGGTATTTTTTTTAACTGCTTACTGAGCGCGAATCGCGTTTTGAAGACAGAGCTCGACGGTTGAGACATTTCGCCTATCTGCTAATGAACGCTCTCTGAGCTCCGATTACTAACGTAAATCTATGCGATTATTACTGCGAATTCTTTGCTTGGCTAAAGTTGTTACCATTTAGAAATTGGTTGGGCTTTCTTTTGTAGTAGCCTAACCCTTAACTCGATTTATATGAATTTGTGATTCAGTAACGTTACACGGTGCGAATCTTACCAGATGCATCAATTCGCATAACGTTAATATCATGCACATAAGATGGAGAATAATTACAAAACAACTCGAAATATCCAGATCCAATGTTGTAATTAAAATGTAGTGGTCAATTTGTTTATTTTCCATGCAAATAATATTAAAATTCCCAAAGCAAATTAGATATTTTTTTTATTTTTTTTTTGATTTAGTGATGCAAGTACCTGCGTTTTTGTGAGATTCACATGTAAGTTAGGCCTAACGTTATAGTATTAAGTCAAAGAGGTTGTGTTTGAAAGACGAGGCAGAGACGGATATTCTTTGCGGCGCGAAACACGTTTTTGCAGACAGACAGTTATCAACAGCTGAGGCATTTCACTATTCAATGTTCTCCGCACTCTGACGTCGATTTTCTTTGCTTGGTTAAAGATTTCGAAATAATTATTTTCTTCTTTTTTCCTAGGAATCCTTCACTTGATGTAAATGTTTTACTGAGACAGTTTGCCCTAATCTTTGGTGAGTTTCACGCCATGTGGGCCTATAACTTACTTGCAAACTTTGTGCACAATCATGCAGTAACGTTACCATTTTTGCATTTGATATTCCAGAAGTAACACAGAAGCAAGGATGACCGACACATGAGCTTCACAATTCTCTGTCACGTCACCATGTCCCTGGTGAACACTCTTATGGCAGTAGATCGTAAGTAATGATTTATAGTTCATTTAGTATTTATTTTATTTTTGTTTTTCTAACACAAAAATAAAATGAGTTAAAACGATTAATATTTTTATTACACACATCTATCGTTTGGCTTCAGATTTAGAAGACATTGATTCATCCACGGTGGTCTTGTGAATTAATGTTACGATTGTGGTGTTGTTTTTTAAGTGACAAAAGAATTAAGATTAGTTAAGTACATTAACATGATCATTTTATGTTTCTTTAAAAAGTGTTTGCAGAGTATGTGATCACTTTTTGCAGAGTATGTGATCACTTTTTGCAATGTGCTTTATTTTAGCACTAAGATTTTCTTGATTTTCTTTACTCTCAGACCTGGACTTCCTCTCAGACCAGATCTGTCAAAAGCTGATGTGGGACGTATTGGCTGTTTTTTGCCTCTTCCTACATTTCTTCACCCATTGGTTCTCGTGATTATGTCCTCTCAGATCTGGACTTCCTCTCAGGCCAGATCATTCAAAAGCAGGTTTGGGATATTTTGGCAGTGTTTTTCCCCCCCTCCCCCCTCTATCAAGGATTTTTCATCCATTGGTTCTCAATGTTTTCCTCTCAGACCCAGACTTAATCTCTGGCCTGGTTGCTGATGTGACATTTTGGCTGGTTTTAGTGTTTTGTTTGTTCGGGTTTTTTGGTTTTTTTTTGCCTCTTTGTAATGTTTCTGTGTTTGCCTACTGGTTCCTCTCATTGAATTTTAAAATGTATTTTCTGTTACTTTTTTTCCTTAAATACTGTTAATGTATTGTTAAAACCTGTTACTTATTTTAAATAAATGGCAAACAATGTACTAATACATAATCTGTTTTGTCTTTATTTTTTCCATTGAGTAAAAAGTCTGTTTGGAATGTCTGTATACATTATGCTACATATAGGGATGTTAATAGATATCAGACAATAGAGTAAATAAAAAACAGTATTTATATTCTAACTTTATGCTGCCAGTACTTTGTGAAATTACAGCACAGCCTTAAAATTAAAAACTGTAAAATTACGGTAAAGGGCTGGAACCACAGCTGCCAGTACTTTACTGTAAAATTACAGCATTGTTGAAACCGTAAAATTACGGTAAAGGGCTGGAACCACAGCTGCCAGTACTTTACTGTAAAATTACAGCATTGTTGAAACCGTAAAATTACGGTAAAGGGCTGGAACCACAGCTGCCAGTACTTTACTGTAAAATTACAGCATTGTTGAAACTGTAAAATTACGGTAAAGGGCTGGAACCACAGCTGCCAGTTCTTTACTGTAAATATACGGGTGAATTTTTTACAGTGTAGCCTTAATGTTGCACATTAATGTTTTTTCCTCTTTTTTTTGTGGAAACGCACAGGGAAAAAAAGTGTGTAACTGCTCGCACACCTGTTTATCTTTTCCTTTGTCGTCTCATTCGTTTCTTTGCTAGATTTTCTCATGTCTGCTCATGCTAGTTAACGTTAGTCACTCCCTGTATAGGCTAATATGTTTTCTTTTCTCACAAATGTATGACTTTTGGAAGTGCAATTTCATTACCATTTGCACTTTTATTAAAGTTGAATTAGCTAACCTTCTATGTCATTAACTCTTCAAAGTGTAGGCTTGCAGGTGTTGATTATAATGAATTATAGTTAGGCCCATACATAATAATAAGGATAAACAATATTTAAAAAGTATATAATTATCTAACATATGAATCAACCACAAAACATAACATGCTAAATGGGGGATATCTATATCTAGCATAAAATAAATTGTCAGAACGAACGTCGTCTCTCGGTTGCTGAATGTCGCGCAACAGCGTCGCTACAGCCCGTCGCGTCTTACAATTCTACGTTCACTGTAAAGCATGATCTATTGTGAAGATCATTTCATTATAGTTGTTGTGCTGGAGTTTATTCTCAAGGAAGTATCGTGTCTCTTAACGGGTAAAACTACAGTAACATCTTCCAGTCAGTTTGAGATCCTCCATCTTCATATCTTTTATGAGACATAAGCTGCTATTCATCGAAGCACAACCAAAACAATGTCCTTCCGCAAAATGCACGCAGTTTTGCTTTTAACCACTAGAGGGACAGAATTAACGAGCGCGTCTTTACATTTGAAAACAATGGGAGAGTAGCGCAGTGGAACGGAACTATTTAACACGGACGCTGGTCTGACTCACATGTGCTGTCCGACAGCGGCTGGAAGAGCTGAGATCTGATTATTCCTCACATCCAACCAGAGCAGAGACGGAAAACTGCTGAAGAAGCGCTCCGGGAGCGCGCAGATCTCATTACCCTCCAGATACAGGCTCTACAACACAACACACAACACCATCCCATGAAACTGCGTATCTACAGCACGAATTGTCAAGTCAAGTCAAGTCACCTTTATTTATATAGCGCTTTTTACAATACAGATTGTACCAAAGCAGCTTCACAGTGATAACATGAAAATAATACCACAAAGTTTGTTTCTAGAAGAAAATTGCATCAACGTCCACCAGTAGGCAGATCAATAATATTGTTGAATATTAAATGTCCCCAATTGTATTTATCGTGCAATTTATACGCAAAAAAGAGTTTTTACGTGCATATGATATGCACATTGGGTACACAGCAAAAATGCTTACTTAGTATTTTTGTCTTGTTATGTTTCCAGTCCAAATATCTAAAACATTCTAAAATCAAAATGCATTTTCTAGATGAGTAAAATTCCACGAGATTGTAAGCCTTGTTTTCCCGGGGGAATTAATCAAAATTAAGTGAGTTTTTGCTTAAAAAAAGCTAAATTATCTGCCAATGGGGTGAGAAAAATAATCTTAATTCAAACAGAAACAGGATTATTTTTCTAACCCCATCGGCAGATTATTTGGCTTTTTTAAGCAACAACTTCATTTGTATTTATTTCCCCAGAAAACAAGACATAATATCTATGTATAAATGCATCTTGATTTAAGAATTTTTGGGTGTTTTGACTGGAAACAATAGCTAGGCTACTAAGTAAGAAAAGCATTTTTTTTTTGCGGTGTAGGGTTATTGGTGTGGAGTATTACACGCCATAAATTACGTATCATATGCACGTAAACTGTTGCGTATAAATTGCACGATAAATTCAATTCGTGCTGTAGGCCTACGCACTTTCACGAGATAGAACTGTACCGGAAATGGCGTCATGATGCGATCAGACTGAAGGAGTGCATCGGTCACATGTGGGAAATGTTTCTGGAATATTATTTTCCAAGAGATCATGTGGAAAAAAGCTTGGCTGCTTTCTTTTCGGGTTTGTATATATATAGCTAACACAATTCGGGAATTACATTTGAAAATTCTTCATAATATTTATGTTTAATTATACTTTATCAAAATGTATGGATATTGATGAAAATTGCTCATTTTGTTCAGATCAGCCAGAAACAATTCTACATCTCCAAAGATGTTATTACATATTTGAATAAAAAGATGCTTCTGTTAATTTTATGATGAACCATATAATATTATTTGGTCAATTTTATATTCATAAAAGTAAAATAAATAATTCTAAGCCTTGTCTGAAGGTCTTTATTGATTTGTATATTGAGTCTCTCAATGTAGCCTACTAATAACAAAAAATGTAGAGATACAATCTTATACGCTAAAGAGTTGAAGCTTATTGAAATCTGAAATTATATGCTGTCTTTATTTAAGTACTAATTAATGATTTATTTGTTTATTTTCTTCATTTCTATTTAAATCAATAGTATTATATATATTGCCTGTTGTTTTCCTTTTTCTGTTCTTTCCTTATGTATTGTAAACCTGATTTCTTTTAAGTGACTATCTTTTTGGATGTGTTGTTATAGTTGTTCATGTTTTATGTCTGTATTAATGTTTAACATCACCTGGAGATGCGTCATCTGTAACACAGAGTCTGAGATGGTCTTCAGTCCTCTTCTGCGCATGTGCAGCATTACTGCTCTTCCTGCGCCGTCGAGGCTCTCGTGATCATAATCGATCATATTCCTGTTGAAAGGTTATGGTGTATAGTAGGCTAATATTTACATCTGACTGTCAGTTGGGATGTTGTGAGTCGTTGCTATGGTGACAGCGCATGAAAGCGAAACCACTACGGTGAGCGTCGAAGGACAGACATCCAAACGCGTTTGAAAAATACAGAGAAGGAATCTTAAATAATGTATTTGTGGAACAGCGAATAAGTACAGTTAATTTAAACAAAACATAAAAGTAAAAATGAAAGAAAATAAAGAAAATACCCCATAATGCAGTAATTGTCAATAGAATAGGTCTATATGAAGTATTTATTCTAACTAAATGTTTGGCCATGTAACAAAATGCATAAATGTGGTAAAGCATAATTACATGGTTTTATTAATGTCACAAATATATTAGGCTGTATTATAAAGAACGAAAACAGTCTCATCTTTGTGAAGTCGATCTTTTTTTAACGATCAGCAGGGTTATTAAACTAGTTAACTAAAACTATAAAAACATTTTATATACCTGAAATAATTTTATTTTTAGACAGCTAGTTGCCAGGGCAACATTTCTACCAAGTTAAAAAAAAACATAACTACATTTTAACATTTTAAACAACTACAAAATGACTAAAATAACAAAAGAACTAACTTGAATGAACTAAAATGAAAAAGAAAATATCAAAATACAAACTGAAATATTAACAAAACCTGTAATAGTATCTCAATGATAATAAAAAGTGTATGTCATTATGTTCAGGGTGTTTTATGGGCATTTACAACTAAACACTGAAAACGTTTTATGTGTTTTGGTCGTTCACTTACACGACAACAGCGATTTGTAAACGCAACCTTTTGAAAACACATTTCAAAGTGCAAGTTTTTATAAACGACACTGTTATCGTCTCTGTGTATAAACTACAAAAACGCGAATCTATGAAAACGTTGACGTCATGCGCATGCGTGTTGAGTCTATTGACATGTAGTGTTTCTTTACACAGTGACATCGCCGTCTACTGGCCTGACAGCACAATACAGGGGTTATAGTCGATGTCATCTTTATGTGAAAACCCAAAGGAAAAACTGTTCTGTTTTTAGTACATCATTGTCATGTAAACACACACCTAAGGGTCTTAAACATTATTATTTTCTCTTTTATTGAAAACCTTTGTTGCACCTGGTGACACATTGATATGTAACCTGACAAAAACCAAGCTGTTAAGACATCTCAGCTGATGAAAAGGATACTTGATGTTGTACGGTATGTATGATTGAATTTTTTAATACAAAATGCAGAATTGTGATCTGTGATTGTAATTTTTATTTATAGATTCAAGTGTTTTGTATGACTCTGTATTCCCCTATTGTTATTGTTGTTGCAATACAAAAAACAATAAACAAAAAAACATCACAAGAAAGAAAAAACCTGCTGACAAACACCATTTGTACAGTTCAGCGTCGCGAGCGCGCGCGCGTGCCCGAGTCTCGCGCAGGGGAGGTTCATATAAACGCGCCGGCGCTGAAGCTCGTGTTCAGTTCGAGTCTGTGTATGTCTATGTGTGTGTGTGTGTGATCTCTGGAGCAGATCCTCGCTGTTCCTCACTCACAGATGCTCGTGTTTTAGAGCATCAGCAGCATCAGGTTCAGTCGCGCTGAAAGGAATGAGATCAGAGCATCAATGTTTCACTGGGGAAAGTGGAAGAAGAGGATGGGAGCGAACAGTTCATCCAAGAGACCCGTGTTCGACGACAAAGAGGATGGTGAGAGCTCAAACTGCACATTATAACACTCACAACATCACCAAACCTCATGTGCACTCGCATCATGGCGTTATTAAACACTGATTATGACTTTTAAACAGTTCATTTAGATGCACAGTGTTTCTGATGTAACAGCAGTTAGAAACATATGATTGACAGATGAGCTTTTAGGTGTTTGGTCAATGCTCGCTTTCACCTAAATATATGTTTGTCATCTGTACACTGCAAAAATGCTTTTCTTACCTAGTATTTTTGTCTTGTTTCCAGTCCAAATATATAGCCTATATATAAAAAAAATATATGAAATCAAGATGCATTTACTAAAGTAGTAAAATGCCATAAGATATTATGTCTTGTTTTCTGGGAAAATAAGTACAAATTAAGTGAGTTGTTGCTTTTTAAAAAAGCTAAATTATCTGCCAATGGGTTAAGAAAAATAATCCTGTTTCTGTTTGAATTAAGATTATTTTTCTGACCCCATTGGCAGATAATTTAGCTTTTTTTTTTTAAGCAAAAACTCACTTAATTTTGATTAATTCCCTCGGAAAACAAGATATAAAATCTAATGGCATTTCACTCATCTAGTAAATGCTTCTTGAGCATTTTGATATTTGGACTGGAAACAAGTCAAAAATACTAAGTAAGAAAAGCATTTTTGCAGTGTATTTTATACAGATTATGAGTTTCAGAATGCAGCGATATCTATATGTATTTATTTCTCATATTTCTTGGTGCATTTATTAATGGTTATTGATAGTAAAACATGCATTATTCTTCATCTAAGTTCACTTTTACGGAGTATTGTATGTTTAAAAGTGCAGCATGCCGTAGACCGACCGTACTGATTGTTCTGAAGTAATGTCCAGTTCTGAGATTTTACGCAATGCAAATGTTCCACTTTTGGTTTTCTGCCTCATTAATTGCGTGTTATATTTCAAATGCAATTCATGCAACAATGTGACTGTAGAGATCAGCTACGGTCTGTTTGAACAAAACCTGCCAATTACATCATTTGCTGTTTAATTGGTTCATTAGCGAGGATTATGGAAATCCAGGGGAATTATGGTCCTTTATCAGCTGAATTGTGCTGGAAGTGAATGCGTCACAGTGAAAGACGAGACCTGAAGTCTTCTGTAGGGCAGAGTGTGTCACAAACGCCAGAAACGAGGTCAGTTCACTGCGGTTTATGATCATACGGAGCCAGTGTGGAATGACCCATTTAGTTACAGTACTGACTCACACTAATATTACGCAAAATCACTGCGCTAATCCATGTGGACGTAATTACAGCTGTGTGCAGTTGTGTTGAGTCGTCTTGTTGAGTCTTGAGTTCAGTTGTGTTATTTTGTCGTGTTGAGTCGTGTTGAGTCGTGGCGTCTTGAGTTCAGTTGTGTTATGTTGTCATGTTGAGTTGTGTTGAGTTCAGTTGTGTCGAGTCGAGTCGTAGCGAGGTGTGTCGAGTTATGTTGAGTCTTGTTGTGTTGAGTCTTGTTGTGTTGTGTCGAGTCGTGTCGAGTCGTGTTGAGTTCGGTCTTGTTGAGGTGTGTTGAGTTCAGTTGTGTTCAGTTGAGTCGTGTTGAGTCGTGTTGATGAGTCGTGTTGAGTCGTGTTGATGAGTCGTGTTGAGTTGTGTTGAGTTCAGTTGTGTTATGTTATGTTGAGTTCAGTTGTGTTCAGTTGAGTCTTGAGTCGTGTTGATGAGTCGTGTTGAGTCGTGTTGAGTTCAGTTGTGTTCAGTTGAGTCGTGTTGAGTCGTGTTGAGTTCAGTCGTGTTGAGTTCAGTCGTGTTGAGTCGTGTTGAGTCGTGTTGAGTCGTGTTGAGTCGTGTTGAGTCGTGTTGAGTCGTGTTGAGTCGTGTTGAGTCGTGTTGAGTCGTGTTGAGTCGTGTTGAGTCGTGTTGATGAGTCTTGTTGATGAGTCTTGTTGATGAGTCTTGTTGATGAGTCTTGTTGATGAGTCTTGTTGATGAGTCGTGTTGAGTCGTGTTGAGTCGTGTTGAGTCGTGTTGAGTCGTGTTGAGTCGTGTTGAGTCGTGTTGAGTCGTGTTGAGTCGTGTTGAGTCGTGTTGAGTCGTGTTGAGTCGTGTTGAGTCGTGTTGAGTCGTGTTGAGTCGTGTTGAGTCGTGTTGAGTCGTGTTGAGTCGTGTTGAGTCGTGTTGAGTCGTGTTGAGTCGTGTTGATGAGTCGTGTTGATGAGTCGTGTTGATGAGTCTTGTTGATGAGTCTTGTTGATGAGTCGTGTTGAGTCGTGTTGAGTTCAGTTGTGTTATGTTGAGTTCAGTTGTGTTCAGTTGAGTCTTGTTGAGGTGTGTTGTTGTGTTGAGTTCAGTTGAGTTGTGTTGAGTCTTGTTCAGGTGTGTTGTGTTCAGTTGAGTCGTGTTGAGTCGTGTTGATGAGTCATGTTGAGTTGTGTTGAGTTCAGTATGTTATGTTGATTAGAGCTGTCACGATATCTACTTTTTGTTGTGCGATATATTGCACCAAAATTAATTGCGATAAACGATATTATTGTAATTTTCAGACCATTTTAGGCCACTGATTACATAATGACAATATAATAGCATAATAATGCAAATACACTGTTTCAAAGAACATTTTATTCTTAATCTATTCAATATTTAGACATTGTGAAATGTGAAAAAATATATCCCAAATAAATAAAACAAGTAAATAAATACACTTTCGTTAACAAAAAAGTGCAAGGTATAAAGAACTAGATCAAAACAAAGTAATATGTCAATTTAAACTTTTAAAGTGTCTCACACAAAGGCACAGATGCATCAACAGGACATTTCTGCTGTCAGATTCGTTTTTTAATTGTTAGGCAGATTCCGAGAAAGGAACACCAACATGTTTACCTTGTGGGGCTTAAAGGAGAACTCCGGTCAATTTTAACATTGAGCTCATTTTTTTGGTAAATTTGGAGTGCTGTCAGTACAGAGAACAACGACAAAAATCGGTGTTTCCTACACCGTGTTATCCTCTTTTTAAAATGTGCACACTGTTGACTTAAACGGGGCTAGTTTTAAACCTGTTAACATCCTTGATGTGTCATTTTAAGTGAACAGCCATGTGAGTGATGTTATTCATAGTGAACACGGTGAAAGATATGAATAAAGATGTGAAAGATATGAATAAAAATGATGTTTATTCAGCCAGCTCACATACCCGTATTTACTTCCTGTTTTCGGTCGAAGTCCACAGTAGTCGATTGTCGAGTTCGCGCGCACGATCATTGGTAACTAAGATAACTAATGATCGCGCCCGCGAACTCGACAATTGACTACTGTGGACTTCGACCGAAAAAAGGAAGTAAATACAGGTATGTGAGCTGGCTGAATAAACATCATTTTTATTCATATCTTTCACATCTAACGTTACTGCAGTCAGATTCACCGTGTTCACTCTGAATAAAATCACTCACATGGCTCAATTCCATGTTGGACTCGTTATTCCTAACTGGCTCGCTGTAGATGTCGCAGAACACTTTAAAATGCAGTTGGTTCACGCCTTCTCTTTACCTGACGGTGTCTCTATCTCTGTGTGTGTGTGTGTGTGTGTGTGTGTGGGGAAACGCTGCCTGAGCCCCGCCTCCGACACAGAGTGCAGACAAGATGACAGAGGCAGCGCGATCAACTAAAATGTTGGTGACATTCATTGTAATGTAAAAATAAATCTAATTATTATTTTTAATAATAAAATAAATTATCAGTTGCAATATATCGCGGCACCAAAAATGATCGCGCTCATTTCCATATATCGTGCGATAAGTCGATATATTGACTATCGCGACAGCTCTAATGTTGATTTCAGTTGTGTTATGTTGAGTTGTGTTGAGTCTTGTTCAGGTGTGTTGTGTTCAGTTGAGTCTTGTTGAGGTGTGTTGTTGTGTTGAGTTCAGTTGTGTTGAGTCTTGTTGAATTGTGTTGAGGTGTGTTGATTTCAGTTGTTGAGTCTTGTTGAGGTGTTTAGTTCAGTTGAGTTGTGCTGTTGAGGTGTGTTGAGGTGTGTTGAGGTGTGTTGAGGTGTGTTGAGGTGTGTTGAGGTGTGTTGAGGTGTGTTGAGGTGTGTTGAGGTGTGTTGAGGTGTGTTGAGGTGTGTTGAGTCTTGTTGAATTGTGTTGAGGTGTGCTGATTTCAGTTGTTGAGTCTTGTTGAGGTGTGTAGTCGTGTTGAGTTGTGCTGTTGAATTGTGTTGAGGTGTGTTGAGTTCAGTTGTGTTGGTTGAATTGTGTTGAGTTGTGTTGAGTCTTGTTGAGGTGTGTAGTCGTGTTGAGGTGTTTAGTTCAGTTCAGTTGTGTTGGTTGAATTGTGTTAAGGTGTGTTGAGTCTTGTTGAATTGTGTTGAGGTGTGCTGATTTCAGTTGTTGAGTCTTGTTGAGGTGTGTAGTCGTGTTGAGTTGTGCTGTTGAATTGTGTTGAGCTGTGTTGAGTTCAGTTGTGTTGGTTGAGTTGTGTTGAGTCTTGTTGAGGTGTGTAGTCGTGTTGAGGTGTTTAGTTCAGTTCAGTTGTGTTGGTTGAATTGTGTTAAGGTGTGTTGAGTCTTGTTGAATTGTTGAGGTGTGTTGAGTTCAGTTGTGTTGGTTGAATTGTGTTGAGTTGTGTTGAGTCTTGTTGAGGTGTGTAGTCGTGTTGAGGTGTTTAGTTCAGTTCAGTTGTGTTGGTTGAATTGTGTTAAGGTGTGTTGAGTCTTGTTGAATTGTTGAGGTGTGTTGAGTTCAGTTGAATGTTGAGTTCAGTTGTGTTCGGTTGAATTGTGTTGAATTGTGTTGAATTGTGTTGAATTGTGTTGAATTGTGTTGAATTGTGTTGAGGTGTGTTGAGTTGTGTTGAGTTGAGTTTAGTTGTGTTGGTTGAATTGTGTTAAGGTGTGTTGAGTTAAGTTGAATGTTGAGTTCAGTTGTGTTGTGCTGTGTTGAATTGAGTCGTGTTGAGTAAATTTCTCTCAAAGTTACAAACGAAGGTTCTCCCAGTAACGTTAATAGAACGTTCAGAGTTCTCT